CAACATCCAAGAGTTTGTCAACATTGATAACATAAGTTGTAAGACAATATCTTGGTTTAAAGAAAGAGCGATTCTGTCACCAACTAACGAACAAGTAGACAAGGTAAATAACTTGATTCTTTCAAAGATTGATGCGTCGACGCAAATATACTACTCCGTCGATACTGTTCTCGATTTGGAAGAAGCTGTTCATTTTCCTACAGAATTTCTTAATTCTTTGAACCCGTCTGGACTCCCTCCTCACAAAATGGTGTTAAAAGTAAGTTGTCCTGTTATTTTATTAAGAAACCTGAATCCACCTAAACTTTGCAATGGCACGCGTTTGCTGGTAAAATCACTGAAAACTTTCATAATAGAGTGCATAATACTCACAGGATGTGGTACCGAAGAAGATGTATTGATTTCCCGAATCCCTCTGATACCATTGGATTTACCATTCCAATTTAAACGCCTAAAGTTTCCGGTAAAGACATCTTTTGCAATGACCATTAATAAATCGCAAGGTCAAACCTTCAACGTTGTAGGCTTATTAGATTTGAGCGTTTAGTGTTTTTCACATGGCCAACTATATGTCGCTCTTTCAAGAGTAACCTCTAAAGAAAACATGTTTGTATTGTCTAATGACAAGAAAGCTGTGAACGTTGTATATAAAGACATTCTGTAGTTTATTAATTGTAAAAATAAAATAAATAGGTAAAAATGTAAAAAGTAAATAAGTAAAAATGTAGTAAATGAATTTAGATATTCCAAAGATAGCCGGAAATGTTCACGGTATAGGAAAAGGGGAATTGTTTTATTCCGAATTTAACGCGTGCGAATCCGCGGGCAAAAGCTAGTTTTTTATAATTAGTTATTCAGGGTGACTCAAAAAAATTAATGAATGGGGATATTTGAGTAAACAGTATTATTATTAATAGTAATATTAGAACTGCACCTATTTAATTTGAGATATTTATACTGCACCTATTCAATTTGAGATATTTATACGTGTCCTTGCTAAAATACTGAAGACGTCACAAAATTTTGTAATGGAAAAACTCACTTGAAATATACGCATAGTATGCTTCTTTACTTGTACTTCAATAGTTCACACCTATCTCTCTTTAACTTATAAATGTCAACATAAAAAAAAGTTCGAAACATTTTAATTTTATAATTTTTCGAAAAAAATCTGTATTTTGTTCGCCTGTATTTCAGGTGCTAGGGAAATTCGGTATAAACAACTTTAGACTTTACGAACTACCATTCAATTAAGATTGTTATGGCAGCAAATTCTTGGGTAACTATATCACAAATAAAAAAAAATCACCCATTGCAACAATTACATTAAACAAAATCACCAGTGATTCAAATGGACATTTGATATTTCTTGAAGTTTCAAACAGAAATCAGATAATTCGATCAATAAACTCCACGTTGCAGTAGTCATATTTCAACTACATACATGCACTGAATGCTTCTGTAGTACCACGTCAGACACTTTTAAGACTAAGTTTGGACTATATACCGAGCTTTTTTTAACTCTCAACAAACGAAAGTAAGTGTGGATTTAATCTCTATGTGCAATTTTAAAAAATGTCGAAATTTATTTCGACAGAACTTCCCTCGCTTCTTTGAAAAAATATAAAATTAGGTTTTGCTATGTTTGTTTTGTGATAAGCTCGATAAAGTAAAAACCGGTGGCATAAATAATAATCTCGCAGCCCCTGCACCGTGGGGGCGTAAATTGCAAGGGATTGTGCAAATTGCGCAAGTACTGATAACGGAAAATATATTTAAAGCAGTAATAACAAGCTTTCTTACGATGTATAAACAAGCACTTGCAATTGCTTGTTTATACATCGGAAGAATGTCACGTAGAAATTTTTTGATTTGAATGTTCTGAATATTATTATTATAATTTTTATTAGATAAATAATAATTCTCACCTTATCGAAAAAGTGGGGTGACTCGTTCTTAATTTGATCAATAAAAAAATTTGTTATAACGTCATAAATATGGATAATACCCAATGCGAGAGAAAAAAGGAAAAAACCGAAAGGCCTTGTTTGGCAACGAACGCACGACCTTCGGACGGCGCTCTAGTCTCATAGTCGTCGCTTAAGTTTAACTCATCCTCCACTCAAATTCACCTTATTTGAGTTGAAGGTGAGATTGGGTTTGAGTCAAAATTATTATTGCATTCATAATTCCTTAATTAGACTCAGTGAGCAAAGGAAACAGAAGTTCGACGGCAAATAGCGAAAGAAACGTTAAGACAAGAAGCCATTAAAACCCAAAATTAAAGACAGAACAACAAAATGTGTCTCTTAATAGGCAAAACTACTATTTTTCATTAATTTATTTATGTATTTATGTTCATCACAATATTTTTCCAAAAGATTTGCAACATGTAAGTTATAGAACATACTAATATTAAAAAAGAAACTGTTATTAAGCAGAATATTCTTACCTAGAGATTTGTAAGAACATCTGGTCAATGTAATAATAAACTATAAATTCATCAGAATCGTCCATAGTGCTAATTTTTGTAAATGAACACTTATTGCAACAACATTACTTACATTAAAAAAGAAACTTATCAAAAAAAAAAATTGGTCGAAAGTTGTTTCGACAGAACTTCCCTTGCACCTAAAGTACAATGAAACAAACATATCCAACGTTTTCGAGTTAAGTTTTTTCTTTACACAATTTTATGATGACGTCATCAACATTTTTGCAAGGACACGTAGATCAATTTGGATTAGTGTAGTGTAATACTGAAAATAACAATATTGTATTCCCAAAATTTTCTGGGAAAATGGAGTGAGCCGTTCCTGATTTCATCAATAAAATTGACTCATTCATTAATTTTTTTGAGCCCCCTGCTTAAGCATATCTAAATAAAAATCCGTGACTGTAGACAGACAGACAGACGGATAGATAGACAGACAGACAGACAGACTGACAGACGGAAAAGGGAGACCTACTTCTTCGTACTCTAGGAGTCCTGAAAGGTCAAGAAAACGTAAAAGTAGAGATTCGATTCGCTTACGATCGGGAAGTAAAAACAAGTAACTCAACCAGTAAGTTTCGACGTCTACTATTTTAAAAATCTTAGATTTAAAATATATAAAATAAAACACAACAAACTACCTTACTAGACTGACAACACTGAAGGAAAATTTATGGAAGGTTACAGGTTACCTTAACACCTACTCAAGTTTTTCTCAAAATGACGAATGTCAAATTAATGAGTTAAGTTCAAGTTGAGTTTGAGGTTGTTTCAAAAGACGTCTATGCATCTCACCCTAATCCATCACACCTTACGCTAATGATAAACTGTTAATAGAGCATTATGTTTTTGCGAAAATTTGGACGGTTAGGGAAAAAATTCAAAGTGGATTCGTACACCACACGTATTGGAGTATAGTGTTGTATGACAGTTAAATCAAATAAACATAGAATTCTTTGAAATAATGTCATCAAATTGTTGGTTGGCATGATTAGCAAATTTTTGGTTAGCACTTATCACTTAACCATCTACATAATATTTCTAATATACATACAAAATCTGACAACAATCGCTCCTGGAGTTTCGGATATTACGTGTCTAACAAAAATGGATAGACACCAGACAGACAGTATAAATACGGGATACTACTTTTTTCGTACTGTAGGGGTCATCAAATGTCGAGAAAATATAACAGTGGGCATTCGTCGAATGGACTCGATTACTGTACTTCCTTAGCTTACGCTCGGAAAGAAAGAAATACCCATCAATGCATTGGAAGTAGGGAAGTACAATACATATGTAACCAATATTACGTAAAAACAATGCACACTTGATTTTGTAGAACCAGAAATTCCAAAGTAGTTGGAATTAACTTTTCATCTGGATGGCATAAGATTTTACCTTATTTTCTTCAATTAAACATAATTTTTCTATTTCATTTGCATCGAGTACAAACATGGTTTACATTTTTGTAAAATATTTTACGTATAATTATTCGAATAACAAAAAAAAACACTCCACAATGTAACTATGGATATGATTTCGGAGGTTTTCACGGTTGGGGTCAATATAATCGTTTCCCGGGTTGGGACCATGTCAACTGAGTTTTTGGCTCAACGTTTCGCACACTGTCGTATAGTAAGTGGCATCTTCAGAAGCAGCATTGTGAAATTAAGAAGGCAAAAAAGCACGGAACAGTTTCGCCTCTGGTATGGTTGACATACTGAGTTACGGTGCTCTTTTGCCTTCTTAATTTCCTAATTTCTCAACCCTGAATCCCAACTGACGGTGATTATCAGCAACTATGAATTATGATTAACCGAAACAGTTGGCAAGGAAATTATCGTTGTCTGTGAAGTTTCAAAATTCAAATATCAACCATGATGAGAATTAGCAGGCCTAAGAAAAGTAAAATTACTGGCATTCCGTTACATATTTTTTTCCAGTCTTTTTTTCATTGTGCATCAACTTTACTTTTTTTTATAATGTTCAGATATAAAAAAAATGTGCCGGTATAGACTACTTTGTATCTAAAAGCAAGTGAATTTAATATGTCGCCCTGTTATAAAATCCAAATAGAATATTTAACTTACAGAAACAATCAGTCACAACAACTCTTGGAATTATGCTAAAATTCAGCACAGACTAATAAAATGTAAATTATCATGTCTACGTTAAAACAATAAAATAATTGAAATTTTAACAAACATGTGTAACCAGTGTAGAAAATAAAATTATCTACATATTTAAAACAAACTTTAGACGTCATCCTACGGTTAGCATGTTAATAGTCATAAGAGACTGTTACAAGTATTTAAGATTATAATTGATATGTATTATTTGTTGATCCACAGATCCATGCGTCCCAAACTTTATGTTAACAGAAACCTAAAGAAAGAACGATCTACCGCAGGACACCCAAATCTGAAAGCCCGTTTCTAACGCTTATTAAATTATTAAATATGTGCATAATTAAAAAAAATCTAATGTTATTAAGAAAACTCACCGATTTTAATTTATTATTGCGAAGACTCAGTACGACAAAGTTGCTCAAAAATTGTGATCCTTCGAGCGGCAGTATTGAAGTAATTTCATTATTGTCCGCATATAATTCTCGAATGTTTTGGTACGATGGATCGCTACTAAATAATTCTAGTCCTGTAATATTATTATTTGAGACATTTAACGCAAACGTGTTAGCTGGTAGTGGCCGTGGAAGTGATATCCAATTTTGTCCTGAACAATTGACTTCTACTTTAATAGTCGCTTGCTTTCCAGACACGATATCCAGTCTTTTAGGTTCACAGGTACAATTTGGTAGGCAATCTTTTCTTAACTAAAACATATACATATATCAACACAGTGAGTACCGAATATTTTAAAACTATATCCCTACTTACCTTATCTATCTCTATAACTTGAATCAGCGGTACAGATTCAGTCGAATTAAACCACTGAAATGTTTTTGTAAATATACAAAATGAGTTATTTATATTACTAAAATGTAATTCCGTTCGTTGTAAGGCATTAAATAAATTTGGACATAACATATGGCTGTTAGCTACATAAAAAAAACTTAATTCATTCCATTACACAAGTGTACAATATAATACCCACCTGAAATATCTACGGTTACATTTCCATCCTTTTTAAAGCGAGGAACATCAGATAAATTGTTATGGGAGAGATCCAAAAAACTTAGGTTGTACAAATTAACCAACGATCTGTTTTCAAAGTTAATAATTCCATTAGAAGATAGGTTTAAACACGATACTGAGGTGTGTTTTGCAAATTCTCCAGTAACACTATTTATCTGGCCATCAGTTATAGTCATATATCGAAGATACTTTAGTTTTCTCCAATCTTCAAGATTTAGTGTGGTCAGACTAGCATTTCTGATATGCAGTGCTTCCACGTGTCCGCTACCACTTATATCTATTGTCAAAGAAGCAATATTATGCATTATATTAGAATCGCGCACGAGATGCAGTGATCATGTAAAAACCGTATGAACAACACACGCTAAAATTCGACTGAATATACTGAGGCTTCGAGGTGCGTGTTGTCTAACCAATGGCAACGCTAAGTTTGTAGTACAAAGCCCGTTCACATTCACTTTGCACACGTGACATGACAAAAAAAAAATAACAGAAATGAAGCTATCGATTCACAAAGGCTATGTTTTTGACACGCACGTTTGTCTTCCCAAACCAAGTACAGTCGAAAGAGGGATGAATTCCCGCCCTCTGATCGGCTGTGCTTCGCAAGCTAGGTGGGACCTGACGTCACCGGATGTCCCCATTTAAATTTTACAAACTGACTCAAACCACTCAGTGGGTCAGCCCCGTAGCTAGGGGGAGGGGGGGCAAGATGGGGCTGAGCCCCACCTAGCAGTTGTGGTTGCCCCCCCTGGAAGACTTACACATTAAAAATTTCAAATTAAATAGTAATAAAATTTCAATATAATGCCGATTGCCGAAGCATATTCACTAGCCCCACCCGCCCCCCCTTTATTTTCTTACAGGGTATGTTATTAGGCAATATCAGACTAACGTTAATGTTGACCGTATAAAAAAATGAACTGTCATGTCACATTTTATTCCATAGCCTACTACTAAACATACAAAAAAATAAACTCAAACAAACTGGTTGTTACCTAATGTTATGGCCACTGCATGAATTTTTGGATGCTGTACAGCTGTTTGTGAATCTACATTCTCTGTTCTAACCAGAATGGATCGCCCGGCGCGTTCAATGACGCATGAAAGATTGGCAAACTAGGTTTTTCCTGGCTTTTGAAAAGTACCGTAATACTTCTTTGGATTTCGACAGGTTTTTACGAAAATTTAAAACTTCAAATGTAAAAATTGAGAAAAAATAAAGTAGTTATCTGAGAGTATTACTAAAATATATACAGGGTGTCCCAGAATTCGCGCCATTCCCGTGAATGACATGTTCCCTGTCCCGAACTGTGCCGTAATTCGCAAAAAGAATTGTCCAGGCTTTAACCGTGTGAGAACTGGAAGGCGATTAAGTTGACCAATAGAGAGGCTGCTTTTATATCCGAACGTTTCTATGTTCAAAGTTACCTATGCCAAGAACAAAAAATCGGGTAATACTAAAGTTGAATGATTTTTTTCCGAATCCCCCTCCGTCAACAAAAGGAAACAGAAGTGTGGTTATAAATTTAATCATTTTGACAATTGTTTGTCATAAACTGTCACGAAGTTCATCACTGACCTGAAGAGACGCTTCTGCGCCAAAGATGACTAATTAATGTACACAGAGACAGAGACGTTTACTTTAAGGCAAGTAGCATGGGACAGAAGTTATTTCTGCTGCCATTCTAGTTAAATTGTGTTTAACTGGGCTGTACATGTCATAAGAGAAGCGGTTTCATTTCATCGTAGGCAAATAATACATTTATTACTATTCTACATAGAGTAGCTACCGAAGAGCAGGTATTAGAAGTCATGTTCTTAGAGCCCCGTGAATAATCGTCGGCACCCAGACCAACAAGTGTTTCACCGATTGTTACATCGAGCAAGAGAAGATGGATCTTTTCAACCTAGTCGGAAAGGCCGTGCTGGGGCTCCACGGAATGTACGTGTGGGTGCTGAAGAGCAAGTGTTAGAAAACATGGAAGCGGATCCTAGGAGAAGTGTCCTCTATGTAGCGCAAATGAGTGGATGCTCAAGATCGACCACTCATCGTATCCTTCAAGAGAGAATACTGCATCCTTACCATTACACGAGAGTGCAGCATCTGCGACCAACCGACTACCCGCGACGAGTACATTCTGCTCAATGGTTTTTGCGACAAAATGAACTAAATCCTGATTTTTCACGGCGCATTCTTTTCACCGACGAATGTTCATTTTCCCGAGAAGGAATGTTTAATGCACACAATTGGCACTTCTGGGCACACGAAAATCCACATCTCACTAGGGTGAGAGCGTATCAGGAGCGATTTACTATTAAGCTATGGGCTGGAATCATTGGTACTACTGTGGTAAAAATTTTAATGCATCTGATAAAATCACTAATCTCCGTTCCTGTTTTTTAGGTGGGGCCGTTTGTGTTACCTGATCACCTTAATGGGGAGGCATATGGTAATTTTCTACGACTAGAGCTTCCAGCGTTGTTGGAAGACGTTCCTTTGAATGTACGGCGGAATATGTGGTTTCAGCACAACGGCGCTCCTCCACATAATTCGATACTTGCACGGCGAACATTGAAAAGAGTCTATCTATCTATGTTAAATAATATACAACACAACATAATGCGACGAGCTAGAACTGGCATTGAAGTTAATGGTGATCATTTTGAGCACATTGTTTAATAACGTTACAGTACAACGATTCCGGCCCATAGATTAATAGTATTGCTCTTGATATGCTCTCACGTTAGCTAAATGTGGATTTTCGTTTGCCCAGAAGTGCCAATTGTGCGCATTAAATATTCACATGCTGGTCAAGGAGCCGATGATTGGGGAAAAGACCTGTATATTCGCACACAGCAGTGGCTGCATAGCGTTTACATTCTCCATAAATTAACATCATTTCCAAATATTCTTTATACTAGTATGAATAAGACATCAGTGACTTAGTGGTATTGGTACTGATTTGTTTATAGTTTGTATTGTTCTTAAAAAAAATGCAACTACACGATTTTTGTTATAATTTTTATTCGTATCTTTTCACTCTCTAGAAAGTACTCGCAACTTTAAAGAAACTGTTTTAAATCATCATGTGCAACATCAATATTATTCTTGAATAAGTCTCAGTTTTCAGTATCTTCCCCACATGATTGACACCACAGCAGATACCTATGATCTTAATACACCAGAGAACTGGAGTCTCGTCTCTTTTTTCGTTGCTTAGATTAGGTATCAGCAACAAAGCTGTTCAGTAAAAATTGATACTGTTTATTGAAAATCATAAGCACCGATTAATCAAAAGCGATATTTATGTTTTAGTACACTAAATAACGTTCTTTGAATGGACATGTGGTACTCTTTTTTAGAAATAACGATAAACTTAATATCAGGGATATGATGCAGAGTAAATTCTGAAAATGTACTAATTTTCGTTAAAAATAACAACACATTATTCACGGGGCTCTAAGAAAATGACTTCTAATACCTGCTCTTCGGTATCTACACTATGTAGAACAGTAATAAATGTATTATTTGCCTACGATGAAATGAAACAGCTTCTCTTATGACATGTACAGCCCAGTTAAACACAATTTAACTAGAATGGCAGCAGAAATAACTTCTGTCCCATGCTACTTGCCTCAAACTAAACCTTGACGTCTCTGTGTACATTAATCAGTCATCTTTGGCGTAGAAGCGTCTCTTCAGGTCAGTGATGAACTTCGTGACAGTTTATGACAAACAATTGTCAAAATGATTAAATTTATAACCACACTTCTGTTTCTTTTTGTTGACGGAGGGGGATTCGGAAAAAATTCATTCAACTTTAGTTAGTATTACCCGATTTTTTGTTCTTGGCATAGGTAACTTTGAACATAGAAACTTCGGATATAAAAGCAGCCTCTCTATTGGTCAACTTAAGCGCCTTCCAGTTCTCACACGGTTAAAGCCTGGACAATTCTTTTTGCGAATTACGGCAGAGTTCGGGACAGGGAACATGTCATTCACGGGAATGGCGCGAATTCTGGGACACCCTGTATATTTACATGAAGCCCCTCTGTCGACAAACTTGCCCCCCCTGAATAAGTTTTCTAGCTACGGGGCTGCAGTGGGTGGTGTTTTAGCAAAAACTAACTTGAACTAACGAACCAGAAACAAATGTACACTAGCAAAACACAATTAACACAATCAACTACAACTTCTGCAGTAAAACTCGTAATAATAATATTGTAAACGATCGAACCAACCGTAGAACCAACCAAACACCGGCAACACGGCAACAGCTGACTGCACACATCACGCGAGTCCGCCGTCCGCCTGATGACGCGTTATCCCACTACTTCCCGACCGAAAGCTACGAAAGTATAGTAACCCAGTCCATCGGATGAATTGCCATTTTCATGTTTTCGCGACGTTTCATTGCCCATACAGTACGAAAAAAAATGTCTACCGTTTCCGTCTGTCTGCCTGTCTGATGTCTGCATCCACTTTAATTTGACACGTAAGCCCCGAAACTGCTGAGCCGATTGTTGTCAAATTTTGTATGTATAGGATTTCTATAATGATTATAGGGTCGAAGTAGGTCATGGAAACGTGCCGCCTCTCGGTTTTAGACTTTACTAAATGCTCAAGGACTCACGATAAATGCCATACGCATCTGTATAACTGGTTGCAAGCGGTTACAGAATGCACCCACTCTCAGTTTACGAATGTCCCATTGCGAGAATAAGACATAACAATGAAAGTATCTTGTTCAACATAATAGACTATTTTCACGGTATTCGCTTCCTAGCACAAAAACAAAAATTTTCGTACGCACGCACCAAGGGTTTTGAAAACGATTATTTTATTGTTTTGAACTTGAATCAACGAGAATTACTGTAATTCACATTTGAAAAACGTTAAAACAATAAAAATGATGACTTTAAATGATTTTTGTTATATTTTTTATTCGTGCCTTTCCAATCTCTAAAAAGTACCCACAACTTTAAAGAAACTGCTTTAAATCATTATGTGCAACATGAATATTATTCTTAAATAAGTCTCCGTTTTCATTATCTTCCCCATATGATTGACACCACAGCAGATACCTATGATCTCAATACACCAGAAAAATCGAGTCTCGTCTCTTTCTTCGTTGTTTAGATTATATCAGCAACAAAGCTGTTGAGAAAAAATTGATACTGTTTATCGAAAATCGTAAGGACCGATTAATCAAAAGCGATATTTATGTTTTAGTACACTTAATGACGTTCTTTTAATGGCCATGTGGTATTCTT